AAAGTCCCCCAAATTACCAGTCTAGACTTTGACCTTTCTTCTGAACCTCTCCCCACACCTCTAAGAAATTTGGGGAATCCGAACCATTAACACTTGTGGGAAGTTTCCTGGCTTCTTAAGGGGACTGCCAGTAGAGACCTTGGGTTCATTTAAATACATTTTGTTGATGCTGTAAAGAAAGATAATAAATTACATCTTTGAAGACGAATTAATTATGGTTTATATAGTATATTCTGCCCTATGTGAGGCTGGAATTTAGAATCACATGTTTAAGAATTTCTTTTTACCAATAAGTACAATTTTTCTCAGATGACAAAATATTTAGACAATAACTTGCGTGATTCATAATTGTTCATCTCCAAGTGGGCTTGTCTTGAGAAAACCTTAGACAACAATAAAAAAGGAATATCCTATACTTTTCTTTATTTTTTCTTGTCCACAAAATACCATTTTTCAACTTCGTTTTCAATAACTCTGAAATAAATCTTGTTCTCTCATATGCTGTATTTTGTTGACCATGTATGTGCAGTGTTTCTGGAAGATCAATCTTTAACTGGTATGTTGAGTTTTATTTTCATTTTCTCTAATGGGAGAAAATGTAAAAGAATTTTTTTAAAAAAAGATTTTTGAAAGATCATTAGAACACAGAAAAAATAATAATTGGATTTCTCCTCCTGCATGTTATGATATGTTGCTCTTCATCTTGAAGTAACACAGATTTGAATTTAAAAAGATCCTAATACTCAGTTTGCTGGGATTTCAGCACAGAATCATTGCCAGAGGAGAAAATTTTGAAAACTATCTCCCCTCAGGATAAAGAGTGATATTATGGTCCAACAATCTAGGAACGCTGTTTTCTTTATGAAACTTGTTTATTATATTCTAGCTTTGTTGAGATTTACTTGATAAACATTGAGGTTGAAGAAATGCCTAAATCTTTTCGTTTACTTGCTCTTTTGCTATTATTTAGCTAAATGCTCCTTTGGGAAATTCTTATAATCTAAACCCAAAGAAAGAAGACCTATTTGTATTTACTGTAGTCTAACTCAACAAGGGGGAGACTTTTCTTTTTCTTTCTGAAAAGGTATATTTATCTATTTTCTTTAGTGGGTTTTTCCACTTTGCTAAATTGTTTCTACACTCAAAATTGCACCAAGACACCTTGTCTTCCAAATGCAAAATGTGAAATACGGAATGGAGTTGAAGCCTGTTATTGCAACATGGGATTTTCGGGAAATGGTATCACAATTTGTGAAGGTAAACAATATTTATTACTTCTGTTGAATTTTACTTGAAGATTAAATTTTGATGTGATTGCTTTTATCTTGGCCAAAAATTAAGTTGTTTTCCATTAAATTGTTTGATTTCATGCTATGGATAAAAATAAAAAGCTTAATTAACTAAACAATAAGTTTGAATTTCCAATGTCACATTTTTACTCGATTGTATATTTTTGATGACTCTATACATCTTATTTTTAGTGTGAATATTGAAGATTGCCCTTGAACTTAACTTGGAAAACTAAATTGCATAGAGCAGAGTTAATACCTTTGAGAACAAAAGAACAGAAAGTTCATGAAGTCCAGGCTATACTGGTATATGTCGTGGTCAGATACCTTTTTTAGTATATAATTACCTAAATTTGAGATTAATGTTAAGAGATTTGAAGTTTTCTCCTGCGTACCCTGGGTG